ATTAAAAATAGAAGATGCAAGGGGCACCTGGGTGGCTCAGTCAGTTAAGCGTCCGACTTTGGCTCAGGCCATAATCTCATGGTTTGTGAGTTCGAGTCCCACATCAGGCTCTGTGCTGACAGCTTGGAGCCTGGATCCTGCTTCAGATTCTGTGTCTCTGTCTCTCTCTGCCCCTCCCCTGCTGGTGTTCTATCTCTCTCACTCTCTCTCTCTCAAAAATAAATAAACATTAAAAAAAAAATTTTTTTTTAAAAAGAAGATACAAGAAAGTCAGTCTCATTGTTTCATAGATATTTATCTGCCTCCAAATGGTATTTACCAGATTGGATCCCTTTTTTATTCACTTGCCACAGTTTGGAACCACTATGGTTTGATTTTAAAATTTAACCTACCCATAAATTACAAAGATGGACCACAATGGAGCATAATACAAATGAACAAGCTGTAAGTCTAAAAGGCAACTCTCAGGGCACCTGGGTGGCTCAGTCTGTTAAGTGTCTGACTTCAGCTCACATCATGATCTCACAGTTCATAAGTTTGAGCCCCACATCAGGGGTTGTGCTGTGCTGTGCTGTGCTGACAGCTGGGAGCCTGGAACCTGCTTCAGATTCTGGGCCTCCCTCTCTCTCCACCCCTCACTTCCCTCCACCCTCAAAAATACATAAAACATTAAAAATAATAATGAATGGGTGCCTGGGTGGCTCAGTCAGTTTAAGTGTCCGACTTTGGCTCAGGTCATGATCTTGCAGCCCATGAGTTTGAGCTCCACATCGGGCTTTGTTGCTGACAGCTCAGAGCCTGGAGCCTGCTTCAGATTCTGCATCTCCTGCTCCTCCCCCATTCACACTCTGTCTCTGTCTCTCACTCTCAAAAGTAAATAAACATTTAAAAAATTTTCTTTAATAATAATAATGAAAAAAAATAAAAAGCAATTCTCAAACTGAGTCCAAAAAAACCTTAAGCAAGGGGCGCCTGGCTGGCTCAGTCAGTAGAACATCTGACTCTTGATCCAGGGTCATGAATTCAAGCCCCACATTGGGCAGCGAGCCTACTTTAAAAAAAAACAAAAATAAAAAATAAAACAAAAAAACCCAAAAACAAACAAAAAACTTAAGTAAGTGGGGTGTCACTGAAAAAATGTACTGCCTCCCCAGGTAACATTCAAAAGGCAAAGCTAGAACAAAGCTCAATGAAGCGTTTGTCCTCTAATACATATAAACATCAGTTTACAATACTAATAGAATATCTCCTAGAGGAGTTCTCATTTAAAAACAATAAAATACAAAAATATTAAGATGGATTACAGTTTATAATTTATAATTACATTTATTCATAGGCAGTATGTTACAGGCAGTATGTTACAGTGGAAAAATTTCTGGCCTTTAACCTAGACAACACAGGATCAAGCCTTAGCTAGGCAATTTTGGGAAATCATGTAGTCAGTCTCTTTAAGTTTCAACTGTTTCTGAAAAGAAAATAAAAATGAAAATAATACAAGCCTTTCCTATCCTATAAGGCTTTGTAACTTCTAAATGAGACAAATGTAAAAGAATATCATGTAAATGCGAATTATTAAAATATAATGGTAATAATTTTTATAAACTTTTATTTTTATAGTTTACAACAGATTATAAATTGAAACATAATATGTTACCTTAAATATCTAATAATAATCTCATTATGCAATCTATAATATTAACTCAAGGATCTTCAATAATGAAGACTGGCTAAGACAGATAGCAAGTAAACATCCTTTCAAAATAATTATAAGTAATTTATGAGTTACTTATGAAATCAAATATTAAATAGATATCTGAGGATGAGGTTTTAAAAAGATCTGATGAGGGGTGTTTGGGTGGCTCAGTTGGTTCAGTGTCTGACTCTTGGTTTTGCCTCAGGTCATGTTTCACAGTTCATGGGATCAAGCCCCATGTTGGGCTCTGTGCTAACAGCATAGGGCCTGCTTGGGATTCTCTCCTTCTCTCTCTCTACCCCTCCGTTTGTGCATGCACATTCTCTCTAAAACTAAACAGTTATAAATAAATAGATGAAAGAAAGAAAGAAAGAAAGAAAGAAAGAAAGAAAGAAAGAAAGAAAGAAAGAAAGAAAGAAAGAAAAAGATCTGATGAGTGGCGCCTGGGTGGCTGTTGGTTAACCATCCGACTTTGGCTCAGGTCATGTTCTCAGTTTGTGGGTTCTAGCTCCACGTCAGGCTCTGTGCCCTGAAGCCTGCTTCAGATTCTGTGTCTCCCTCTCTCTCTGCCCCTTTTCTGCTCAGGCTCTTGTCTCTCTGTCTCTGTCTCTGTCTCTCTCTCTCTCAAAAATAAACAAACATTTAAAAAAAAAAGATCTGATGAAAAATACTTGGGGACATATATTCCAAAAACCACTTAAGAAAAATCCAGGGACACCTGGGTGTCTCAGTTGGTTAAACATCCAACTCAGTTTTGGCTCAGGTCATGATCTCACAGTTTCATGAGTTCAAGCCCTGTATCGGGCTCTGTGTTGACAGTGCAGAGCCTACTTGGGATTCTCTCTCTCTCCCCAACTCTCTCTGCCCCTCCCCCACTCGTGCTATCTCTTTCAAAATAAATAAACTTTAAAGAAGTATTGAAAAATCCAACTTCTAATATCAATAGTTTCTTCATCAAGCAGAGAAAATATTTTCTCCTTTCAGACTAAACTCTCCCCAAATGAGAAATTTTTAGAGATTAAAAAGAAGCAGGGAAGCTTTGTCACTATAATAAATAAGAAACAGAAGGTAGACACTAAATCAGGATTACAACTCAGTAGGGTATTTTAAGTTTCTAATATTAACATCAATCTGCTGAAATTGTAAAAATCACCAAAACAACTTGCATTTGGTTTTAAAAATCCAAAATAGTTATTAAATAATCAAAACTGCATCTACCTATCTTCCTTGTTATTAACATAATTATATATGAACAATTGCTGTCGGTGAAAAATATCAAGTAGGTGTTTGTGGCTTGCAGGATAATGGTGGTTATGTACACAGCACATACACATTTCTTTCCAAAATCTGTAGGACTGGAAACAGCTTAAACTTTCCCAATTACTTTATAAGTATCTGCTTTAACTAAACTTAATAACTAAACAGTTTACAGCATCAAAATGAATACTGTATTGATATAATCAACTGCTAATGGTGGTCTAAACCAGTAAAACTCTTTGGGAAAGCAAGTTTTCTTTTTTTTTTTTTATTTTAAGAGAGAGAGTGCAAGCAGGGGAGAAGGGCAGAGGGAGAGAGAGAGAGAGAGAAAGCGAAAGAGATCGAGAGAGAGAGAGAGAGAGAGAGAGAGGAGAGAGAATCTCATGCAGGCTCCACACTCAGCATGGAGCCCAACACGGGGCTTGATCCCACAACCCTGGGATCATGACCTGAGCCAAAATCAAGAGTTAGATGCTTAACTGACTGAGCCACCCAGGTGCCCTGGAAAGCAATTTATCAATGGGATATAAATAATAAAATTATATGTACCTTTTGACCTAATCATCCTTCAACAGAAAGAAAAAAAAATCATTAGGCATATGCCAGGATTAACCAAAACAATTAAAAACTAGAAATAAAAGAGCAATGATTGGCAGAAAGCTCATTTCATGTCAAAATGCTAAGTAAAACATCCAGAACGTAGAACAGGATTTGTTTTACTATGACTACTCATACGTAAAAAGATACATGTGTAGAAAAATGTCAAAGTAGTGGACAAATTTTTAGGTTTCTTTTTTTTTCAAACTTGTTAAAATGTCTAATCTATAGGGTTCTTTTGGCCTTTGTTTATTCTATTAAAAGAGAAAAATAAACAGCTTTTATTATATACTTTATGCAGAAAAAACTGCTTCACCAATGACTCAAAACCTATTCCACGAAGATATTAACAGTCATAAAAATGAAAAGTAGAATCTTTTTTTTTTAAAGATTTTATTTTTAAGTAACCTCTACACCCAATTTGGGGCTCACGACCAAAAGTCACATGCTCTACCAACTGAGCCAGCCAGGCACCCCATGAAAAGTAGATTCATTTTCCTTTTCAGAACTATCAAAAACAGTAACTTACTTAGAAAGAATTCCTCGAAGTCAGTTTTCTCCACACAGCTAGTATACATGCGCAGGGCCGCAATCTTAATCTTCTAGACAAAAAAAATAAAACCAAACTCAAGATATGACCAAGTGGATATTCTAATGCTATTAGATGTAGGTCACAAAATCTTATATTTGTCTAACTAGAATGATGAGTCCAAACCTGTCACTAGGCAGATTTAACAGCTTAACCAACATCAATTATTTTTTTCTTAAAGCCAACCATTCACAGACTTAAAACAATTTTTATATTTATGATTTAGCATTAAAATGTCAAAAAGATTTTTCCAATATTTAAATGAAATATTTCCTTTAATTCAACTCATTTCATCACATTTGAGCCTCTATACCACTGTTCAGCATCATTCACATTAACTCTTTATAATCTGAAACCCTTTACTTTAAAAAATTACCCATTCTTCTGACCAAAATCAAACAAGCCAAATAAACAAACAAACAAAAACAAAACAAAAACTCTCAATCCTTCAATCTTTCCTCAGAAGCACTACTATCCATTCTGTAAAAGTTTTTTTTTTTTATGCCTTGGGGAAGGGGTCATTTTTTTCTATATTTTCCCTAGTTTTATAGTTTGCTGATTAAGAAGACTGTGCTTACAAATAAGGGTTTTTAATGAATGTAAAATAAAATACAGTAAAAGGATCAACTGTTTACTATTCCCCAAAGCACTAAGAACTCTCTTAGTACCTTTAAAAAAAAATGTTTTTTAATGTTTATTTATTTTTGAGAGACAAAGAGAGCACAAGCAGCACAAGCAGGAGAGGGGCAGAGAGAGAGGACAGAAGATCTGAAGCAAGCTCCGAGCTGACAGCAGACAGCCGGATGAAGAGCTTGACCTCACAAACCACGAGACCATGACTTGAGCTGAAATCAAGAGTCATGCTTAACCAACTGAGCTACACAGGTGCCCCAAATTCTCTTAGAATCTTGATCTGAGTGGTGGTTTTAATTTAGTCACTGAGTTATATACTTAAGATTTGTATATTTTACTGTATGTACATTATGCCTTCATAAAAATAAATCTAAAAGTGAAAAATAAATTATTTTATGAGGTGAATTGTAGGCCTGAAGACCAACTCAGTGCTCAAGTAAGGAAGTATTTCTAAGGACTGTGAATTAAATAAATTAGCCCATCCACAAAAGGCTTACAGAAGCTTATTTTTTCTTAAAATGACAGAGAATTACAAACGCAAATATGCAGACTAAAATAATCTACACAAACTGAGAATGAAATAGCAAATGAAGACAAAACAATCTAGAATTTTAGTAAAGCTATGTTTTTAAGGTTCAAAGTCACCAAAAATATACTATACCCAATACTATATAATGGTCATATTTATCTATACAATCTAGAGTCAAAACAACAGTGTCTCTGATGGGCAGAAATACCTCGAATAAATTAAAGAAGGATTATGTCTCAAATTATAATTAAGATTTTTTTTTCTTTGCTAATTTGATATCTGTCATGTTTTTAAGGCTTTCAGAGTAAAGCTCACATAGGGGGAAACAGAATAAACATATAACAACTGGAAAAGACATACCTACATGGGGAATAAATCAGCATTAGAAGCCAATTTATTTTTTTTTTAATTTTTTTTTTTCAACGTTTATTTATTTTTTGGGAGAGAGACAGAGCATGAATGGGGGAGGGGCAGAGAGAGAGGGAGACACAGAATCGGAAACAGGCTCCAGGCTCTGAGCCATCAGCCCAGAGCCCGACGCGGAGCTCGAACTCACGGACCGCGAGATCGTGACCTGGCTGAAGTCGGACGCTTAACCGACTGCGCCACCCAGGCGCCCCTAGAAGCCAATTTAAACAAACCCATGGTAAGAAACTAAAAAAGAAAAGCAAATTAAACCTAAAAGCAAGCAAAAAGAAAGATATAATAAAGATCAGAGACCAATAAAATTGGAAACAGAAAAACAGCACAGAAAATCAAAGAAGCCAAAGCTGGTTCCTTGAAAATATCAATAAAATTGACAAAACATTAGTAGAACCGATCAAGACAAGAAAAAACAGAAAAGATAAAAATTAGCAGTATCAAGAATCAGAAAGGAGGGGCACCTGGGTGGCTCAGTCGGTTAAGCGTCCAACTTCAGTTCAGGTCATGATTTCGAGGTTCCCGAGAGTTCGAGCCCCACAACAGAGCCCAGAGCCTGCTTCAGATTCTGTGTCTCCCTCTCTCTCTGCCCTCCCCTGCTTGCACTCTGTCTCTCTCTCCAAATAAATAAACATTAAAAAAAAAATTTTTTTTTTTTAAAAGAGGGGTGCCTGGGTGGCTCAGTCGGTTGGGCATCTGACTTCGGCTCAGGTCATGATCTCACAGTTTGTGAGTTTGAGCACCATGTCAGGCTCTGTGCTAACAGCTCACAGCCTGGAGTCTGCTTCAGATTCTGTGTCTCCCTCTCTCTCTGCCCCTCCACTGCTCACACTCTGTCTCTCTCTCTCTCAAAAATAAACATTAAAAAAAAAAAAAAAAAAAAAAAAAAGATACTAAATCTACATAAACTCTTCCAGAAAACAGGAGGGAAGAATACTTTCTAGCTCTTCTATAATGCTAAGATTACCTGAAATCAAAACCAAAGTCATCAGAAGAAAATAAAATTATAGAACCATAGCCTTCATGAACATAGATGTAAAAATCCTTGGCAAAATATTAACAAATCAAATCCAGCAATATTTTCTTAAGATTTCTTATTTTTAAGTATCTCTACACCCAACATGGGGTTCAAACTCAACCCCAAAATCAAGAGGTGCATGCTCTACCAACTTAGCCAGCCAGGTACCCCAAATCCAGCAATATATTTTTTTGAGAGAAAGAGAGAGAGAGACAGAGAGAGAGAGAGAGAGAGAAAGTATGAACAGGGGAGAGGGGCAGAGGAAAAGAGAGAATCTTAAGTAGGTTCCACGTTCAACACAGAGCCCAATGCAGGGCTCAATCCCACAACCTTGGGATAATGACCTGAGCTGAAATCTAGTATAGGACACTCAACCAACTGAGCCACCCAGGCACCCTAATCCAGCAATATTTCAAAAGGGCAATAAATCACTACCAGCTGGGATATATCCCTGGAATGCAAAGCTGATCCAACATTCACAAAGCAATCAATGTAATTCACCATATCAGCAGGCTAAAAAAGAAGCCTGTTCACCTTTGCTAACATCTGCAGCTCTTGGGAGTATTTGACACAGAACACATTTTGGGAAGTACTGGTCTATACCATCATTAAACTAATGATATCCTAATATGGTCATCCTAATCCTTTGGCTTTGAAGGGCCTATTTCCATTCTCAAGACAGAGCATTTAAGATATCTGTTAGCTCTTCACTTCAGTCAACAAATAATTTATTGAGTACCCAACTCAGTGCCTGACATGGATTTGGATATTGGGAATACAGAAGTGAACAAGGAAGTCAAAAACTCCTGCTTTCATGAAACTTATGGCCTACTTCGACTACAGACACATTTATAATTTTTTTTTCTTTTTGCCTATAAACAAAAGAGAAGGCATAGAACTTTACTGGTAACCAAAGGAATGCAAATTAAATTAAAATATACCATTTCACACCATCTAATTTGTAAACATTAAACAGCTTGACTGTATCAAGCGATGGAAATGGTATCGAACATTTAAATCCTACTTACAGATATATAAACTGATATAACGACTGATAAGTATAATTTAACAGCTGATAAATATAAGTTAATGGCGCACCTAGCTGGCTAAATCAGTGTAGCATGCGACTCTTGCTCTTGGCGTTGTGAGTTGGGTGTACAGATTACTTAAAAATAAAATCTTAAAAAAAAAAATACTGTTAAAAATGTTCATACACTAGTACCCAATAATTCTATTTCTCTTTCTCAAGAAACTCCTGCACAATTTAAATGGTACTATTATTATGAAAAGCCTAAAACAAGTGTCTTTAGTAGAGGAATAGTTAAGCTGTAGTTTCATTATACAGTGTGAAGCTAATCAGCAGTTGAAATGACAAAAATCAGGTCTCCACTCAAAAACATGTTTACTAATAAAAACAGGTTGAAAAGATACCACTTATATAGTTTATATATGAACACAAAATAATAGTATATATGTTGTTTATGGATAATATATGAGTGGCAAAAGAACAGAATTTTACAAGAGGATGACAAAAACCAACTTTAGAACAGTAGTTATCTCGGTGGAGAAAGAAGGGAAGAAATGGAAGGGAAGAAAGGATAAATGGGTGGGAGTTTTTTCTGTAAAATTTTATCTTGGAAAAAACAAAACTAAGGCAAATATGGTAAAAATTAATATCTGTCAAATATGGGTACTGGTATATAAACATCAACGCATTTACAATTTTAAGTAAAACTCCTAATGGTCTATTTCTTGATTTTTAACTCCGCATTTTCCTTCAGATTCTTATACAGAAAGTCCTCTAAGTTCATAATTAATTATTCTGCCTGAGGAAAGGCAGATTTGCCACCAAGACCCAAGTCATCCCTTGAGAAGGTTTTCTCACATGTTCATGAAGAAAGCCTTCATCACAAATAATGAAGACCTCAGCAGATTGGCCAGTGCATTTACACAGCGCTCATAATATGGCAATCAGGAGCATTTTATAGTTCCTTGCTTTTCCTGCAGTGAAGCCAAACCTTAATACTTGGGTGAGCCATTAGCCTGGACAAATGTCTAAAGCAAGTTCCCTAAGACCATCACAGAGGGACTGGAAATAACTTGGGGAAAGGATTTCTTCAAGATTCACACAGTAATTTAAGTTAAAGAGGTAGGTCAGACTAAATTCCATCCTGTTAATACAGATTGTTCTGGTTCTCAGATGACTTCATGTTTATTTCATTCTAACTTTGGAAGACCTCATCAGTGTACCTGATGAAAACACAAGCACCTAAGACAGCTTTAAGAAATGCAAATCAGCTCTCCCACTGACCGAGGCATCTCATACCATCTTACAAGATGAAAAATGAATGTAGTAAAAAGTTTGCACTAACAGCTGTGTGAGTTGGAGGGGCTTTGAAGTCATTTGAACCTTCTATTTCATACTGGAATTCCTTCTACAACATTCTTGATTCACAGTCAACCATCTGGGCCACTGTTAAAACAAGTCCAATGACCTTGTGAGGTTACCTATCCCCCGAAAGGACAATTCTTGTTGTTAGATTTTTGTTTTGTTGAATGTAAAATCTGCTTCATGTAACATTCATGAAACATCCACTGCCCACTGGAATACCTTAGTTAGATTAAGTCTCTCTCTCTCTCTCTCTCTCTCTCTCTTTTTTACAAATACCTGAGAAGAAACGTCATCATGTCTTCTCTTTTCCAGGTTAAGCATTCCTATTTCTTTCAACCACTCTTCATTCAACACACTTTCTGAAGCGTTCACAAAACTCACTGCCCACTTCTGAGTACATTCCAGTTTGTCAGTGTCCTTCTGAACAGAAAGAATTTTTTGGTTTTATGTTAGTCTGGAAACTGCCTATTCTATGGCATGTGGCTGAACCTGATAAACATTGTCCTTGTTTTATCTGATACTGCCACATAAAGATAATGGGAAAGAATGTTTATTTTAGGACAAATAGGTAAGGAAAAGCTACATTTAAATTCCTAAATATGAATCTAGAAGAAAAATGAAACTACACATGAAAATGTTACGGAAGGGGCGCCTGGGTGGCTCAGACGGTTAAGCGGCCGACTTCGGC